GTTTTTGGACATTTACTGTAATGTTCTTTGTTTATACTTCTGACTGACCATGTGCTTTCTTTTAAAACACAACGAGGCTAAGCATTTTTCAAAGAAATAAGCAGAAATTATGTTACACACACCTTTTTTAAGAGGTCTATTACATGAAGATTGCAGCTGCTGTATATGTGATAGGACATCAGGGATCAAGAGGAATGTATAAATGCAAAAATACCCATCCAAACTGAAATCTGCTTCAGAGACCTGTCAACCAGTGTGACAACAGCCCCCCTGATCATTTCAGGTGAGAGTGGATGGTGTCAAAGCAGTGTATGATTTCCTGCAGGTCTCCATTAAATGAAGCTGTAACGACACATCTGACCTCATCTTCTCTGCACTTGAAAGTGACAGAATGGGCCCGGATGCAATTCCTGACAAATAGGAGTCTTTGATAAGAGAAGAAGGGTTGGAGGGTTTCTATCTGCGAGTAATGTCTGCTGAGAGGGCTGACAAATCCCCCACCATTACAGCAGTGATGCTATAAAAGACATGTATTATGTAAAGAAAAAACATGGACAAGCATCAGCTTCTGATGCCGTCGGATTAAAGAGAGGCACTGCAGTCACAAATAATGTGAATCATTTATTTAAAAGAGACAGCCTCAAATACTGGTGCCTGAAATAGTGCAACTAATTAAACATAAGATGCAAATATTGCTTCAGTAGATAGCTGTAGAATCCACAACAATACTGAATGTGAACATTTTATGTCGAGCAGTATTGTGAAGCTTAACAGCTCCCTCTGCTGGCCAACATCCTGAAAGCATGTGCTGCATCAAACAGTTAGACAACGTCCTTTTCTCAATGGAGCATTGATTTTGCTCTCCTGTTTTCATCTTTGAAGTGCAAGGAAAGGAGATTCTATTTTCTATGAGGTTTAGTAAGATGTATATTATAATGATCTACTCTATCCACTGGCTTATTGATTTTCTTATGTGCTGTGTGTGTGTGATTAACAATCCATGATCATCAGCAGAGCACCATGATTACTGAAATCAATACCAAAACTATGAGTCCACAATTACAGAATAATTATCAATACAAAGTAATTATCCACACAAATATTTGGACCTGTAATCCTTTTTTATCAATCACTCAGAGTCATGGCCTCAGTATTTTTACTTACTCACTATATCGCCCCAATAGTTTTATGTAACTTTCATAACATTTGCTGCCAATTCCACAAACCATTTTGAAACTAAATTATTGAGAGCAACATCATGAACTGAATTGAAAGCAATGTTTATGTCATTAGCTTTGTCTTTTGTGTATTGACTTCACCGGTCAGTCCTATTTTTAATATTTCACATTACCAATAGAAATATGAAGAAAAGAAACCATCAAAATGCCACAGTTTCTGGATGTGTCCTATTAAGTGAGCGACAATATTGTTTTGTATTTATTGTGTAAGACAAGAAAAAGCATTAAATCCGGACGTTTGAGAAGCTGGAAGTAGAAAAATATGTTTGCGAATCATTGCAGCTTTAAGAGATTTATATATACATATTCAGTTGCAGTCCTTAACCGAATGGTATCAAAGATTATTTTAAGATTTGCACGTGACAGAGTTTTTGCTGTTTGGATGGAGAACTCAAAAGTCATCTTGACAACCTCGGGACAGCTGATGTTATTTTTGCTGTTAAGGGTCTGATGATGTCTAACCCTCAGTGTGAAATGTATGTGGGAGCTGGTGGTGTGGAAGGTGCCATGTCGTGGTCGGTCGCAGTGTTCCCTTTTCTCTACGGGTCACTCAGCAAGAGAGTTCCTGTGGGCAGAGTGAGAGAGCATCACACTCTGCCCACACATTTGTCCTCGTAAAACCACAGTCATCTTCATATGCAAAAAAAAAAAGATCTGAAGTCAGAAGTCATAGCTGTGGCTGTTAACACAAGTTGTGTTTGTAATATAAAATGTTACTGTCAAGACAACCACAGAACTAATGATGGAAATATTTTAACTTTAACGCTCCTAAGACACGCTGAGGACTTTTGACGCCTACATTTTCTAAAATCCATGTGACATAGTAATGTATTACACATTTAACCAAATTTCGAGGGAAATTGGCAGAAGATATTGCAAATAAATCTTGTTTTTTTTCCCCCACAACCATTATGCAATTATAAGATTGAAATTATTGCAGTTCTCCAGTATGAAAACCAGCAGATGAACCTTTTATGGTTAAAAGCGATGGACAAAACATTTTTGGGAGCTTTTTCCCTTTTATAATATATAGTAAAACTGAAGATAGCTACGACATGTGGAGAGAAAGGGCATGACATGCAGCAAAGGGTCAAACCCGGCCGCTGTGGTCAGGTTGATAACATTTCTAACAAAGCTTCCTTCACACCATGTCTATTCCACACTATTAGCACACCTCAAGGCAGTAACAGTAAATCTCATGTGCTTCCATGTGTCTCTCTGGAGAGAAAGTCATACACTATTCAGCTTGAGGAGGCGTGTGGTGCAGTGGATAGAGCGTTGGTATTCGGATCAGGGGGTCACAGGTTCAAACCCCACTGCAGTCAGCATGTCGTTGTGTCCCTGGGCAAGACACTTCACCCCAAATTGCTCCTGTGGGGATTGCCCACAGTATTGAGTATGTAAGTCGCTTTGGATAAAAGCGTCTAACAAGTGACATGTAATAAGGGCCGAATCGTTGTGTATTATTTATTAGAGAGGTCCTTGTCTGAGGCTTTTATAAACTCAGGGTGGATACCTTTTAGACACTATTTGTTTTTAGTTTAAAACATAAACTTGTAAAACATACTCCATTACAAGTTGATCATGCAATTAATGATAACTTAATTAAAAGTTCATAACTATTATCAGATAAATGTATGTAAAGTATTACATGTATACGTACTGTTTCAGTAACTTAGTTTAGTAGTGTTACTGAGGAGCCAAAGTCCAGGAAGGTTGTGAACCATTGTGTTAATCTTGTTGTATATGTATCATATATATTTGCAAATCTTAATCTGAAAAGTGATGCTTAGCTACAGTTGTCAGATATAGTGTAGAAGTACAACATTAACCCCTGAATTGTAAACGAGAAGACTCATGAAGTGGCACATTCTTTTTTTTCCAATTATACCATCCATTATACCATCATAATTTAGTACCGCTAATTCTATATTGTATATATTTTCGTATGTTACTTTACAGTATTGTTTCTCTGCTGATGGGAGTAATATGTTTCAGCTGTAGGATTCATCTTTGAGAACCAGGTTGTAAAATTATCCTCGCACTTACTTTGGCTTCCAGTTGAGGGCAGCAAAACACCTATAAATGAGCGAGCAGAGGCTCTTCAGCTCAGCAACAGGTCTGTCCTGAACTACTCCTGGCTCTGTAAATCGATCATTATCGATCAATATATATCCATGATATATTAAAATTCTAGTGAAAATACAACTACTAAAACCTCCCAAAGAACATAGTGGCGTCTAAAACCTGATTTATTTTTTTCATATTGGCTGGAATTACTTTACTGGAATCAAGAATTCACCGTCCTATGAGCAGCTATGTGAGACTTGACTCATTAGATTGAAGAGTTTCCATTACATATTTGTGTCAGTATGGGGGTATGTATGTGTTGGCCAAAACGTAAAGAGGTAACTTTAGAAAGAGAAAATGCAAGCCATTCACTGAAAATGCTTCAACGTGGCTTAAACATGACTTTCTATGGTCACTTACACCATAACAGGCCGTCAAAGAACCAACTGCTTCTTCATAAATACTTTAACTAAGTCATGGATTGTTAAAGTTTTATTTTGACGTGCTACCAATACAAAATATTTAAAAGAACAGATCAAATCTAAAGAAGGCAACAACCCACTCAGCAATAGTGACGCTCTGCAACATTAAATCCATTACAGGCCTTTGAAAGTAACACACCCCTAAGCCCCAAATCTCTTTAATACAACACCCAATAGGAAAGTACTAAGCTCTTTACCGATAGCTAAGATGCGCCAGCACTCAGCAACACTAGTGCCTCTGCTTTATATTCAGTACAGTACAAATTGAATACAGGTGACCATATATTTGAAGACATTTTTGAGGTTATCGTTTGCTGCTATCATGGCCAGGACACTACTGTGCAAGAATATTGAAATTGAAATCTCTGTAAAGAATATCTGTGGTTAAACATGGCTTGTATTGCAGCTAAAACGTTGGCCTGAAATGCATTTCAACTTTTAGAAATATCTACAGAATGATAAGTATTTACGTTATCACACTATTTGGCATATACATCAAGATTTTGGACTGGAAACAAAACAAGCAAATACAACATCACTGTGGGTTTTCAGAAATTGTAAAAATCCTTTGTCTATTTAAAAAAACATTTCTTCTAAAACTAAAAGATAATTTATCCAAAAATGATACAAAAAAATGGCAAAATTATTATTAATTTAAAAAAGTGTAGCAGTACTGAATATTGTTTGTTTTTCAGAAGATATATGAGTGATTTTGGTGTTTCATATAGACTAGAGTTCATACTTTTTTAATGCACCTGTGATATTTGCAAATCTATGATCGCCTACATCTGGACTTTTTCGCTTTGGGAGTTGGGAGCATCTGAAGGAAAATCATGCAAATATTGGGAGACCCCGACTGTTTTATGTGCCCAGAAAAAGTAGCCCTAAATAGTATCTTTTAAATAAAATGCACATGAAAAGATTACTTTTTAAGCATGAGGTACTTAAAAAAGCAGTTATCAATATCTCCATAATATGCATGAGCAGGTGTAACCTTGATATCTTGATGAGTTGTCAGATATGTTTGCAGTGGCTGCTGGATTAGATATTAACGTTGGCCTAAATCACGTTATGCTGACAGACATACAAATGGATAATCCAAGGTGTGCCTTTAAAAGCCAGACCTTGGCCACCAGGATCCATATGTAGCAGGGTCCTCTCCATCCAAGAAACAAAACTGAAGGGCTGATTGAAACCGCAAGCCGCAAACATGAACGGGACAGAGGGACCATTTTTTTACATCCCTATGGTTAACACCACTGGCGTTGTCAGGAATCCTTATGAATACCCTCAGTACTACCTTGTCAACCCAGCAGCTTTCGCCGCCCTGGGTGCCTACATGTTCTTCCTCATCCTTGTTGGCTTCCCCATCAACTTCCTCACTCTGTTCGTCACCATCCAACACAAGAAGCTGCGTACCCCTCTAAACTACATCCTGCTGAACCTTGCCGTGGCTGACCTCTTCATGGTGTTCGGAGGATTCACCACCACCATGTACAGCTCTATGCACGGCTACTTCGTCCTAGGACGCCTCGGCTGCAATCTTGAAGGATTCTTTGCTACCCTTGGTGGTGAGATTGCCCTCTGGTCACTGGTTGTCCTGGCTGTTGAAAGGTGGATCGTTGTCTGCAAGCCCATCAGTAGCTTCCGCTTCGGGGAGGATCACGCAATCATGGGTTTGGGCTTGGCTTGGGCGATGGCTTTAGCTTGTGCTGTGCCCCCTCTTGTCGGCTGGTCTCGTTACATCCCTGAGGGCATGCAGTGCTCATGTGGAATCGACTACTACACACGTGCAGAAGGATTCAACAATGAGTCCTTTGTTATCTACATGTTTACCTGCCACTTCACGGTCCCACTGGTTATCATTTCTTTCTGCTACGGCCGTCTACTCTGTGCTGTCAAAGAGGCTGCTGCTGCCCAGCAGGAGTCTGAGACCACCCAGAGGGCTGAGAGGGAAGTCAGCCGGATGGTAGTAATGATGGTCGTTGCCTTCCTGGTGTCTTGGCTGCCCTATGCCAGTACGGCCTGGTGGATCTTCTGCAATCAAGGAGCTGAATTCGGACCACTCTTCATGACCGTCCCGGCCTTCTTTGCCAAGAGTTCAGCCGTCTACAACCCAATGATCTACATCTGCATGAACAAGCAGTTCCGCCACTGCATGATCACCACCTTGTGCTGCGGTAAAAATCCATTTGAGGAGGAGGAAGGAGCGTCCTCTACTAAGACCGAGGCTTCGTCTGTATCCACGAGCTCGGTGTCTCCTGCATAAAAGGGCCGTTGACACAGGCTCCATGATCCAATATCCAAGAAGAAGACTTCTGCTCCCCTGGTAAAACGACTGAAGGCTAACGTCTACAGAAATAACTCCTTTTTGTATTTTTACAAATGTATTGGTTCAACCTAAAGACAGTTGCAGGAAAGGTCTGACCATAACAGAGTTGTTCTGTATTTGCAGAATATCCAACTTAAAAATGTATTTTTTCCAAGAGGAAAGGGAAAAAAACTTTTACAGTTGGATCATATGATACTGGCTTATTTTTAAATGTAGACGCATGTTACCAAGGCAATGTAAAATAAAACGCACTTTGCAAATGACTCATTCTGTTGCATGTTTTATTTCAAATGTGGGGGGCAAAAGAGCTTTTATAGTACAACTAGTGCTCTTCTGATACAGAGCTTTTTGGTGCGGATATTTGGGAAATAGAAATATTGAGAATAGCGTTTACATTTCTTTTGTAGCGGCATCTGCATTGCTACTCCTAGTGTTATTTCAATCACAGGGCACCTTGAATTTAAGAATTGGCCTCCCTAAGGGATTATGACATTATTAATCAGGGATGATTATAGATGTGACACCAACTTTGTAGTTAACCTTTATTTAATGTGATTAATATTCGTCATTAGATTAGGATTATCGGATAACAGTATTATCAAGAGACACCTTGATGCAAAGGTTATGGAATGGAAACAATGACTTACTTATAAACGTACAATGTATTTTATTCACAGGGGGAGTATAATATATGATATAATGCTTTACATTAATAAACTCTTAAAATGTCCTAAGAGCTGTCAGTGATTCAGTTTATAGTGAAATAAACCATTTGTTACATTTTTGTATTTTGCTTACAAATGCAAAATACTTGAACTTTAGAAAAGTGCTACCAGTTATGATTGCTAACAAATACTTTAAACATTAAAAAATACTTAAATATGTCCTCTTTGCTGTATACTGTAGTGTGTATTACATTATTTTGTCAAAGTTCTTAGGCAGGCAGCTAATAAGTGCCCTCTAGGGGGACTTAGAGAAAAGTGTTACTGAAGGATCAGTTTTTGGAAGAACCCTTGGGAAAGTTATACATTTCTCAATCAGTTTTCAGAATAATGATGAAAACCTATTTAGAGTATTAGATGTGCATATTAACAACCAGTTTTCCTGTTGTATTAGATGTGCATATTAGATAGATATTGCGGTTAGTTTATCAATGAGACCCACTTGAGATCTGCACAGGTTCATGGCTTCAATATTTCACAGATGTAGCGTTAAATTGTACCACTAAGATGAAAGACGTTAACTTGTGTGATGCCGTGATTTCTCCCGCTCAGTTCCTGGTTGTGCAGTATGCCAGACTCGAGCAAAACAAACCCTAAGATCTCTCCAGTAATGACCTTCATGTGTAGCTATAGCAACCATTTTACTAGTGGAGCTTTCATGGAATACAGATATACTTCAGAGCAGTCTGAAGTAAAGCTTAATGGAGAAAAAAAATCAATCACTCGCTGCTTAAATTTAGAACTAAAAAAGAAAAAAGACATGCTCTAACATTTTAATGAAGGTAATTAAAGAGTATTGGATGGATAACAACTTATACTTTACTGTTCTCACATGCAAAATACCATTCAAAACCAGTTTTAATATTAGTATGGTTCGGAACAGTGTTCATTAATCTGTCAATTTGTACTATCATTATTATTATTACACTGCACCATTTGAAGTAATGAAGTATCAGTGGAATGATTAGTGTTATTGCAACAATTACTACTATCGTAACAATAACAAAATAATACCTTCAGGAGTGTAAGGAGGGAGACAGTGTTGTAGACAAGAAAAGCCATGCGGTTGACAGCCCATACTTTAACATCTTTGAATGTTTTACATTTCCATGTTACTATTTTGATTTAAGTTTGAACCGTTGTACAGTCATTATTAAATGTAGTACATTCTCCTCCAGTGTCGATCTTCAATAAAAGAAAGTCTCTAAAGCTGCATATTAAAACGTAGTGTGACCAGGAGTGACACACCAGAGTGATTTGATCAAAAAAGATTGATCAAACTCTCCAGAGTGTCTCCAGAGACATTACTGAAAAACGGTTGTGCAGAAATATGAAATCCTTTTGAATTTGTATGGAAAACTTTATTTGATAATAAAAATAGCATTCACAGACTTCTTTTGATAGCTACATATACATTGTAATCCATCTCAAGGAAAGAAGCTGGATAAGTCCACATCTACTTGTACTTAGACTAATGTTATGTATAGCTTCATGGGTCAAATAAAGCTATGAACAATGTAGTATTTATATATGCATAGTTTTATAAAAAAGATTGGCCCATATACATGTACTGCTTTTATCAACACAGAAGACAGCATTATGTCCGGAGCACATTGCAAGAAATAATGCTTGAAGAACACAGACTGCATACAAGTGCTTTATAATACAAAGGCAGGCTAACCATCGAGAGAGATTCAAACCATCAAACAGTTTCTGATTGACCAAATACAGTCTTTTAAAATGTCTTTACATACCTGATCCAGAGTAAATTAACATATTTCCCATAAATCATCAGGTCCATTTCAGAGATATAAACACAATATCACATTCCTCACTGCTGAGGTTTTTCATAAATGTCTCTTTTGTACAAGAAAAAGGCAACATTTTAATCCTTGACAGGTTCCTAATAGTTACACTGGAAAATTCTTTACAGGTGATGGCCAACAGGTTAACTTCTTAAATGTATTTCCTTTTTTTTCTACTTTTTTGTTAATACAGTACCATGGCGACAACAGTGATCAAACAATGCATTTGTTGTGGTTTATCCAATATATTTTAGTTTTTTTTTAATGAAACATAAAACGGAGAATACACACAAACACATTATAAAGCAGCAGTCAGACTCCAGTGGCGTGACAGCATGGCTCAGCATGGCAGATTGGTCGTCTCCTGTACCGCGACTCCATATTTACCAACACAAGAAACCACATCAGCTCTTTGTGTCAGGACCCAGGAGGTGGTCGGTGCGCAGTGTGGTTACCATGGGGACAGGGCTAACACTTACTGTGGGAGTACAGTGCATGTTTCTTATCGATTATTCTCGCTCAGACCTATCAGATAAAGTGGTTAAACTACACTTAAATTTACACATGCATCTTGCACAGGATTAATTTACACATTTGTGTTTTTATTTATTTTTTGGCATATTTGAAAAATCATATTTTATGGCAGCTTCAAGCTGGTATTGTGGCAAAATGCAGACTCGTATTAAGTACAATTTAATTTTTTTTTTAGTAACAAATTTAGATTTTTCCACAACAATCTACCAAAACCGTTTTGCCTGTATTTAAAAGTAAGTCAGGTTACTTCCCTGCTACATCAGTTCAAACTGGGAAACAATGTGAGTATTCATTTTTATTTTAAAATCCTCCTCCAAGGGATCAATTAACAACATTGCCAATTTTGTCTGATCTCTTTTCTTAATTTTAGAAGCGTATGTGTGTGTGTATTTAGGCAAAGGAGGGTGAGCTGCCACACATTTCAGGGATGCAACACAAGTAAGGGTACAGCATGCTTTTCCAGGTACAGTGTGCACTTCTACCTTGGTCCTCAAGAAATTGAGCTTGCTCAATATATGTGCCAAATTAAAAATAAATAGTGAGCAAATGACACAGTCATATATTAATTATATAATTATCACTCTAGTTTCACCATCAGATCTTAAATTTAGATTTTTGCCTGAAGTCCAACGTGACTTTCACTTGTGAACCATCAGTGTCTTGTGCTATAGTTTGTTCAGTAAAGCAATTCAGGAATGGAACAGACATCTAAAAACAAGTTGAAAACAAGCTTAGTAGTTAGAAGATACCACAACTGGAAGCATGTTTCATACCTCTGAGGGAACAAATATTTAGATTCAGCAATGCCTACAAAAAGCAATATCACTGATTTCATATGCAGGCACATACAATACCTTTTATTATAGTACAACAACCTCTGTTATGTTCAAAATAACTATAACAATGACGAAACAACCAGTATGAACTGATAATAGGATTGTACTCCTGCTGTTTTATGAATCTCTGGGTAGGATCACAAGTAGTTAAGTTAATCAAATCATTCAAATAAATCGGTCAACCAAATGAAGCACAAGAGTTAGTATCCTCAAAAGTCCAATTCCAGTGTATGGTACATAGTTTGCACAGATAGAGGAGAGAGTGGCGAGGGGGGTCTCTGCTCTAGATGCTGAGGTCTTTGGGGGTTTCTTTGTACAGCCTTCTCTTGGGCTCAGGGAGCTGGTTTGGGCTGCGGCCTGCTGCGTTATTGTTATGGCCCGTGTTGTTGTAGGCAGCATTGTTGTGTGCAGCGTTGTTCTTCATCATGCCGTAGTAATCCTTCAGTCTGGGTGCTGCTGCATAGTTCAGCTCCTCCCGGCTGTAGTTGCTGTCAGGGGAAGAGTCCCGCTCAACTCGGTATCGTCGCTCCGGTGTCCCGTTCATCGGAAATCTCTCCTGCCTGCTCTCTGGCGAAGAGTCTCTCAGGAGGTTGCCGTTCTTTGTGGCTCTCTCACATGTACGGCCCCTGGAAAGAGACAAGGAATCCCCGTTGTTGTTGGTCCGCTCTGGGGTGGTGGCCTCCTTGACTTGTCTAGGCGTCTGCGGGTCCTTGAGGAGCCTCCGCTCGTAGAACTTGCGTTCAGGGGTGGCTGCAAGGAACCCGCCATCGTCGTACTCCCTCTCAGGTGTACGGTCGCGATGTGCTCGCTCTGCCCTGCGGTCCATGGACTTGGCCCGCCGGCGATCGGGAGAAGGGGCACGCTTTGATGTTGGAGAGCGGTCAAGGGACCCGCGACGTTGCCGGGACCTCCCGTCCAAAGTAGAGCTGCTGTTTGAGAGCTCTCGCCCCCTCAGTTTCTGAGCAGCTGCAGCCTTTTTCCCCGAGCTGTCTTTCCTCAGAGTCTTCAGGAGTTTAGAGATGCCGCTCTCTGAATCGGATTTCTTGACTTTGCGGCCTCGGCTCTTCTTGTTGTCACTGCTACTGCTGTGACCATCTTCTGGAGACGGCTGTCTGGGGGAACTTTGACTGTGATTGTTATTCCAGGTGTGATGATGGTGGGGATTAAATTGCCGGCCTTGGTAGTCCATCTGATCTGACCCAGCCCTGTCCCTTGCTCGGCCACACGCAGCCTCCTCCTGGCGTGATGGTTTGTGAAGGTCTGGTGGATAACTGGAGTCCAATGAGGTGTGATATCGGCTGTTAGGCGGCAGCGTTCTCACTTCCGGAGTGTTTTGTGCCCCGGGTGTG